CAATCGGCTCATATGTATATGAAAGCTGGACAGTGACTAAAGATCAGAGAACTGATGCATAGCAATTGGCAATTGTGGTGTTGGCCAAGTACATTCAATATACCATGGGTGGCCAGAACAAACCTGCACAGACAGGATGCTCCTCAGGAGCGAGGACAGTGAGACCTCTCCTCACATACTTTGGACGTTATCGGGAGGGACCAGTCCCCGGAGAAGTAGGTCAGTGACAGGCCCTCAATGAGATGGGTTGACACGGAGCCTGCAACAGTGGGCTCAAACATGCGATGATTGTGGGGACAGCACAGGACCAAGCAATGCTTCATTCTGTCGTATGGAAGGTTGGCTCAGGACCAACTCAGTAGCATCTAAACATACAACTGGAAGATGGGTGGTTCAAACCCTCCAGAGACGCCTCAGAAGACAGGCCTGGAGATGTGCTTCTGAAAACTCAGACTAGAAAACCCAAGTCGACTCTGCATGCGTGGGGTCACCATGAGTGGGAACCGACTGCAACTAACAACACTGTCGTTTGTTGTACTATGGCTGGCTCGCACACTGTTGTGATGCTGGAAGCTATGGCACCAGTATCTCAGATGTGTGGGGTCACCCTGGGTTGGAGGCTGACTGGAGGCTACCGCTAACAGCAACAAAGGCGTCTGCCGGAGGAAGGAGGTGGGAGTCTCGGCTGGGCTTCAGGAGTCTCGGCTGGGCCTGTGTGAAGCCCAGGGGGGTGCACTCCCACGGTGGAGCGGTGAAGGGAAGGCACACACAGGGAGCGAAGACCACAAAGATTTAATTTCACATCACAGTGTCTCAGGGAGGCTGCCCTGCCACAAGGGCACCCCCAAATCCAGAGTTCCTCAGCCCTCAGAGGCTCCGGGCTCAGCAGCAAGAGGGGCACTGGGCTGCAGCCTCAGGGTCCGCCCGGCCCGGAACTTTCCTCTGGAGGGGAGGTCCGCTCTCAGGAGCTGGCTGGGGTAGGCTCTGCTGCGGCTGTGGCTGCGGCGGGCTCCTTCTGCACCAGCTCGGGCTCATCCTCCCCGTCCTGGGGTGGGTGGACCAGTACCTTGTCCAGAATGCCGAACTCCTGGGCCTCCATGGGGCTCATGTAGCGGTCCCGCTCCATGGCCGACTCTGGGGAGGGAAGCAGCACACACGGGGTTAGGAGCAGGGACCCTGGAGCCAAGTTTGGGTCCCCACTCTGCCACTTCTCCCCCATGTAACCCTAGCCTTCTCAGCTTTGGTCTCCTCAATTTCCTGAAATTCCTGTTTCAACCGTTTCTTACTTTCCATTGGTGTAGGACACACTGAGTTGCTATTGGGTCAACTGCTACTGCCAGAGGCCCTGTGCATTCGAGTAGAAACGTCTCCACATCCTTACCAGCATTTGCTACCGTCGGGACCTCTCACCGAAGCGCTTCTGCTGGATTGTAATGGGTGGCGCAAATGGTTAAGCACTCGGCTACTAGCCATAAGGTTGGCGGTTTGCGAGAAAGGCCTGGAGATCTCCTTCTGAAAGGTCGCGGCCTCAGAAACCCTACAGAGCAGCTCTACCTTGCACACGCGGGGTTGACAGGTGTCGGAATCTACTGGATAGCAACTAACAACAGAGGAGTATAATGGTATCTCAGGACGGCTTTAATTTGCCTTTCTCTCAGGAGTAATTGGGAGTGCTGGTGGTGCAGTACCTAAGGCACTTGACTGCTAACCAGATGGCTGGCGGTTCAAACCCACCAGCCACTCCACGGAAGGAAGGTTGGGCAATCTACTTAAGTAGAGATACCGCCTCGGAAACCCAAGGGGGGTCGCTATGAGTGGAACCAACTCGACGGCAGTGATAAGGACTAATGGGAGCCCTGGCAGTGCAGTGGGTATGTGCTCAGCTGCTAATCAGATGACTGGTGGTTCAAACCCACCAGCTGCTCTGTGGCAATTCTACCCTGTCCTCTAAGGGTGCCATGTGTTGGAATCCACTCGTCAGCAGTCCTAGTGGCGCAAAGGTAAGCACTCGGCTGCCAACAGAATGGTGGCAGTTCTAACCCACCCAGCTGTCGGAGAAAGACTTGGCAATCTGCTTCCATGAAGCTTACAGCCTAGGAAGCCCAATGGGGCATGTATGTTACATGGGGTTACTATGAGTTGGAGTCAACTCAACACAGTGACAGCTAACGCTACTATGTGTTCTTCTTACGTGTATTGGCCATTTGGAGTTTTCTGTTTTGAAGACCCTGTTCAGAGCTTTTGAGGTATTTCAATGGTGTTTTTGTGGGTATTTTGTAAGTTAATATTTTTAAAGTGGTTAGGACAATGGGCCTCACCAAGGGAGGTTTTGTCCCCCAGGGGATGTTTAGCAGTATCTGAGTCACCTTTGGTCATCACAATTGGAGGGTGCTACCAGCATCTGGTAGCTCAGTGCCTAAGGTATCTGACTGCTAACCAGAAGGTTGGTGGTTCAAACCCACCAGCCACTCCATGGAAGCAAGACTTGGCAATCTACTTCTGTAAAGATTTACTGCCTCAGAGACACAATAGGGGTCGCTATGAGTCAGATTTGACTCGGTGGCAGTGAGTATGGTTTTTGGTTTATTGTAATTGGTAAAGGAGCTCTGGTGGTGGTGTTGTTACAGCATTTGGTTGCCAACCAAAAGGTTGGGGGTTCGAACCCACCAGCCGCTCCATGGAAGAAAGATGGAACAGTCTGCTTCTGTAGATGGACAGCCTTGGAAACCCTATGGGGGTCGCTGTGAGTGAGAATCGACTTCATGGCAGTGAGTTTGGTTTGTAATTAGCATTGTTTTCCTGATTTCCTTTCTGAAGTCCTCTTTGTTGGTGGAGAGGAATCCAACTGATTTTTATATGTTCATCTTATATCTTGCTACCTTGATAAACCCTTCTGTTAGTGCCAGTAGTTTTCTTGTAAAAGTTTTGAGGTTTTCTATGTTGTTGTTGTTATGTGCCGTCGAGTCGGAACCGACTCATAGCGACCCTTCCTTGTGTTGCTGAGGCAGTATCACTATGGAAGTAGAGTGCCCCATCTTCCTTCCGAGGTTTTCTATATAGAATTTTATTATCTGCAAACAAGGATAGTTTCACTTCCTCTTTACCCATCTGAATGCCCGTCTTTCCCTTCCTTGCTGTGCTGCTCTGGCTAGCCCTTCCAGTACAATACTGAAGAGGAGTGGTGACAGAGGGCATCCCTGTCTGGTATCTGTCTGCAAGGGGAATGCTCTCAGCCTCTCTTAGTGGAGACTGATGCTGGCCTCTCGTTCTGTGGACAGGCCCTTAGTTACATCTGGTTCCATTTAGAGCACTGTCTGGCACACACGTGCATTAAACGAAACCTTGAGCAGCAGCGGGGACGAGCCCGGGCACTCACCTATCACCTGCAGGCTCTGCTTGGTGTGTTTGGCATAGATGCTGTACAGCTGCTTCTTCAGTTTCATGATCTCTTCTGCCTGGATGGCGATGTCTGTGGCTTGGCCCTGGGGATGTCACAAGGGGCGTGAGACAGCGGAGTCAGTGTCAGCCCTGTATGGGGGGTGGGGTGGGGAAGGAGGCTAGACATGGGACCTGGGAGCCCTCCTTGGGCCTCAGGCTTCTAGTTTTGGGGAGGTGGGACATCCTGTTTCCTCCTGGCCTCCACGGGGAGGGCTTCTTGATGCCTACACCTGACCTCTGCCCCAGACGGTTCCCTGTCCCCGCAGCAGCTCACGGCACTCACCCGGGCACCCCCGGAAGGCTGGTGGATCATGATGCGGGAGTTGGGGAGCGAGTGGCGCATGCCGGGGGAGCCAGCGGCCAGAAGCAGGGAGCCCATGCTGGCGGCCTGGCCCACGCACCACGTGCAGATGGGGTTCAGGATGTACTGCATTGTGTCATAGATGGCCAGGCCTGAGGTCACCACGCCGCCTGCAGGAAGGGGCGGGAGTAAGGATAAGGTCAGCTCTTAAACCAACCCCGTAGCCATCGATTCTGACTCACGGCGACCCCTTGTGGGTCAGTGTAGAACTGTGTCCTACTGCATCTTCAGTGATGGATTTTTCGGAAGTAGCCCACCAGGGCTTTCTTGCAGAGCACCGCTGGGTGGGTTTGAACCACCAATCTTTAGGTTTGTGGTTGAACACAGACCGTTTGTCCCACTCAGGGATCTGGTACAAGATGTTGGGTGCCACTGACTTGATTATGGCTCACAGCGACCCCATGTGACAGAGCAGAACTGTACCATAGGATTTTTTTCGGTTGTAAGCGTTATAGGAGCAGACTGCCAGGTCTTTCTTCTGTGGCAGCATTGGGTGGGTTTGAACCAGTAACCTTTCAGTTAGTAGTCCGGCACGAACTGCGCTACCTAGGGAACCTTTGAACCAGGGGTCGCAAATGCCTCTAGGAATAGGGAGCAGACAGAAATAGGTGACACGAGTCCCAATGCGACTCTGATGTGGCCCAGAGGGCCAGAATTTTCAATTGGGCTAGAAGGTGGGAGAGTGTGGTGCTTAAGAGTGCGGGCTGTGGGCATGAATGCTGGCTGATCAATTTATCACACGCGTGACTTAGGGTCACTGGGTGGTGCAAACGATGAACACACTTGGCTGCTGACTGAAA